AAAGAGTGTGGCCCATTCAAGAAATGACCAGAAGCTCAGTGTGGCCAGAACACTGAGAGGGAAGAGGGAGTGAGATCATAGAATATAAAGCCAGAAAGTGATGGTCAAACTGGGAGGGGCTTTGTATGCTAAGATGTTTGTAATTTACTGTGTTGACTTTCATTTCGAAGTTGAATGGAAAATTGAGTCTCTCTAAATCTCAGTATTTTCATCCGTAAAATAAGTAGTTAGCCGCATAATTGCCAAGAGCCCTCTGGCTCTAAAGTATAGCCCCCCGAGAGACTGTGTCAGCTGTTTCTTTTGACACTCTCAGGACTGAGAACATACTTGAGTTTATATGAATGGCAGGACTTTTGTAGTATTGGGTCACCTGACTATCTCCTGTAATTGATCGCTTTATTTTAATAGTACAAATAAGGTCAGTGCTACTTTGTGGATTTACCACAAGGATTTGAGAAACCAGACTTCGGGAGGAGAAGCACCTTGCCTGATCAGTGCATTAAGGCCCTTAATAAAGAGTATAACATACTGATAAAATACCTGTAAAACACTTTATGTTTCAGGCAGAGAGGGGCTATAAAATGGGGACAGTTTTATTGTTAAAATTCACATTCTTCCCAATTAGTACTAGTGCTTATTATGGCTTAGCATTTGCAAGTCTCTACACTCAAAACTTGGTGTGTGAATTACTGTGGAAGCTCTTCAATATGATAACTTTTTTTTCTATTTTACAGCTTCTCATTTCTATCAGGCTCTAGATTGTAATTTCATCTCTGTTCAACACTTACTGGTATAGCTATATCTCTACTCGTATCTCTAATAAACTACATGTTATTGGTTTCATATCTTTAAGTGACGTTTTTCAAGTTCTAATGTATATTGAATATTCTATTTACCTCTTGCAGTGTCTCCCCAAGTGTACAGAATAGCCAGTGAATCAAAAAATAATATGTGGTCGGCTCAGTGATTGAAACGTCCAAGACTCTAAGGCAGCCCAGTCTCTATTTTCTGACTCATTTTATCAAACATTCTATCTAAGGTAGATGAATGGACTGAATATTTTCAGATGTATTTTAGAATGATGCAAGTTGAAATATAAAGACGTCTTTGAAACTCCAGCAAGAGCTTTTAGGAAAAAATGTTATAATTTCTGTCATTTGAACATCAAAGGTTTCTACTAAAGGAGATACTTTGAATACATTTAAAAAATGCCTTTCAATTAGTAACTTTTGCCCTCTCCCCACCAAAGAAAATTATAGAGAAACTCTAGAATACTGGCCACTGTTGACTCCTTTACCCTACTTTTTCTTCACAGACGTTGATGAATGTGCTGAAGGGCGCCATTACTGCCGTGAGAACACGATGTGTGTCAACACCCCAGGTTCCTTCATGTGCATCTGCAAAACTGGATACATCAGAATTGATGACTATTCATGCACAGGTAAACAGTGACTATTTGTGAAATAAAATCTTTCTATGCCTTAAATTTACTTTTAAAAGTTCCTTTTAACTCTAAGTGTTTGGAGAAGTGTGCCATAAATACCCCCTTACAACAAAACAAGTTATAAGCAAAAGCATATCTTCTTGATTTGGTAGTTAATTCTGAATCTGTTCTAAGGAAAGGGCTAGCTCCTTGCTCTGGATAAGAAATTCCTATTAGAAATGTAAAGATAAACTGAGGAACAAAATCAGTATTTTACTAATTTTATACTTAAATAGTATTTATACTCAAAACTTGTGTGAATTCTATGGCAAATCTGAGAAACACCCTTAAATAATATTTCCTTAACATGACAGTTGACTTTTTTTTTTTTTTTTTTTTTTTTTTTTGTTT